CTCATATGAGCCACAAAAACCGACTGAGTGCAAACTGTGCACAGGTGTCCACAAGTTTGTTACCTGCCCAGAGTTTTTGGCAATGAAGGTGATGGACTGCTGAACAACAGATAAGGGGGCAGGGTCGTGCTTTGCGTGCTTGAGCGATACCCACAGAGCAGCCCTTTGTAGAAACCAAACCAAATGTGGTCAAGACAATTGCGGAGTTCAACATCATCCCTTATTACACAACGATAGAAAAGTCGAGCAGCGAACAAATAATGGTCGGGTCGATATAACCAACAAACACTCTGGCGGGGATACACCGAAATCCGCCTGAACTATCGGATGGGTGTCAAGTGGGCCGGTCCGCTTAAGAATAATACCAATCCAAGTGGAGACTCAGCGTGGTTTATTTCAGGCCGTGGCGTTCCTAGACAACGGATCGGATACCACCCTCGTGAGAGAGAGCTTTGCACGAGAACACGACCTGGGGGGACAGACCACCTCATTGGTAGTCGGCACGGTAAATGGGGCGCAAGCGGTTCGGGCTTCTCAACTGAGTTTGAAGTTAGTTCCCACATGGAGGAAGATACGATAGAGGTGCACTAGGCATTTACTATCACTAACCTACTAATGAGAACTTCCGAAAGTATCCAGTCGTTAGCGCGGCGCTGGCCTCACTTCCACGATCTGCCGTTCGAGGTTGTTTCGGGCACCCGAGTGAACATATTGACCGGCTGTGATGTACCCGAGGCACATTGGGTTCTGGACCAAGGGATAGGGGGCCGTAGAGATCCGTACGCTGTGCGCACGAGGTTTGGTTGGATAATCTGCGAACAGCTCGGTAATGATGGTTGTTACGGCCGCCCTTTTGGAACTGTCTAACAGGCATATCGTTCAACCGAACAACTTCATGATCCCGAAATTTGTACGATTGTTTATCGAAAACCCCAAGATTAATCGAAACGTCCAATAATAATAGAACACAACGAACCTCGATCACGTATAATACGGTATCTGAAAATGTACAGTGATACAATAAATTTCGTATACATACTTAACCGTGATCCTCAGTAGGCGGACAGTACGATGGTAGACGAATAAGTGGAATGTTAATGCTCAAACGAGAACCGAAACCGTTATGTTTTACAGGAATAGTAATAAATGGCACAGATAAAAAAGGGCTAGATTAAAGAATAGAAAAGAGAATGCCACTCACAAAAATCTATCTGATTCATCAAATGTTGTTTTCATCATGATCTACGGTGCTCCAACCGCCGTAACAATGGTAATTACTCAGCCTCAATCAACTATATCTCGCAGCCAGATAATCCTATAGGAGACGACCTGCAGCGGCCATACAACCACGAGTTCGGGGACATAGCAGACAACCGATTATCTATGTCGAGGGAAAACTGAGCAGCCCTGGATGTCATCATCGTAACGACACGACACAGCGGAACCCAGTTTGAAGTTCCGTTTCCCCGGCGGATGGGATCCAATGGAGTGCCCGATAATCGAGAGATAGCCCTCCATAGGATAAACTATCTAAAGGGTCGATTGAAAAGAACACACCGTTGAAGGAAGCCTCCTGTAGCGCCATGAAACGCAATATAGAGTTGGGTTATATTGAACGCGCAATGGGAGAAGTCGGAAAGAAGTAACCGTTGTGGTACCTTCCGCACCACCCTGTCATAAACCACAAGAAACCTCAGAAGATCCGAGTTGTCTTCGATTGTGCTGCCAAGTGTGCCGGGATTGTTCTAAATGACCGTCTACTACGAGGCCCAGACCAGAAGACCCCGCTGATTGAGGTGCTGTGTCTATTTCATCTGGGGTCAGTTGCGGTAGCGGATGATATGCTAAGCCTGCTCAAACTCTCGCCTGTCCCACTGAAATCTGCTGTTTTAGCTAGAACGTCCTTTACTACAGTCCGGACTGATTCATGCGATCGATCGAATAAGTTATCCAGTATCTCCCTGGCCGTATGATACCCATCTTCCTCTGACATTAGCATGCACGGTTTTATTGCCTCTCTAGCTACTTTCTTACAGGATGTTCAACAGCTTCTTTGCTTGACTCTCTTGTGGATAAGGTAGAAAACTGGCTTATCTGTAGCGTTTCTATAAAAAAATAACTTTCGGCCGCGGGAGGTCCAAACCGTGAAGGCTGCCATGCCTAAGTGTGGATAGTTCTCTTATGCCTCTACTAAACATTACTACGGTCACACTCCTCGGTAGATAGATTTCTACTCTTTCTTTGTAGCGCTTTTTGGAACACCGGTATGCTGCGTCGTCTGCATCGCTGTTGCACTCAATGTCTGCAACAGCCAGCCTAGCTTCGACCTTGCACAGTCGTTGTCGGAAGCCCGCTTCTTTTACCCCACATTCTTATGTGTCTATTCTTCAATAACCGTAGTTCTACTTCTGCTTTTTTCATTGCAGACTTCGTGCTGCGGTGTGATTTCCCCAAGGATGGCGTAGCACTCGAGCCCTTACCGATGGTGGTTTCTTCACCCTCTTTCTCTTTGGAGAAAGATAGTTTGACTGAGGTTGATTGACAAGGCACAACAATAAATTTAATTTAGGAAAAAATATTGAAGACAAAGAAGAAGAATGTGGAAGAGCTCACCGAGCGTAATTTGACCAAGCTTCAAACTGTAACAGCAATCCGAACAACGTTCATTAAGAATCGCAATGTCTCGAATTCGACTGACACATTTCCAGCACGTAAGAAGACAGTTGAACGACAGTTGAAACTTCGTTTCTATTGTAGGCATACATTATTACATATTTGCGACTTGTGAAACCGTTAAAGTACAGTTACAGAATAACAAACGAAAGAGCAAATCGCGGAACGAGACCGCAAAGATACCGAGCGGGTAATGAGGAGGCCCGTCAAAAAAACAACTGTTAAACGTTGAGTTCATAAAAGAGAAAGCAGAGATAAGAAAAGGAAGATAATGGAATTAGAAGAGTCATGTGGAAAAGAGCTGTTGAAAACCGTCACACCAAATCGGACAATGGTTGAGGTGCTATGCCGATTTGGTCTAGGGTCAGTTGCGGTAGCGGCTGATATCAGGAAAACGTTCATGCAGGTTAAAGTTCCTGAAGGCAAACGGACGCTCTACGGTTGTGGCGGTGGCCGGATGAAGACCTAGATGGACCTGCCCAGGAATATCGAATGACGGTGCACCCGTCCGGCGCGATATCCTCTCCCTTCTGTGCAAACTTCGCGTTAAAAACGACCGTGAATAAATTTGGTCAGCGTTTAGAAACCTCGGTGGGCTCCTGTGCTGAACATTACTTTTATGTGGACGACTTCCTGGGATCCTTCGATAGTATCAAAGAAGCAGTTCGACACATTAGGGACTTATCCAAGCTACTGCACATAGGAGGGTTCATGTTGACCAGTCGTCAAGCAATCGGTTGCATCCCGGTTGATGAGCGGTCACTGAGTTTCCGTGACTTGTATGGGAGTCCGTTAACAACTGACAGGGCACTTGGTGTGCAATGGGATTCAGAGAAAGATGAGTTTTTGTTCCAAATCCAGCTACCCGAAAAGACGGCGACTCGTAGAGAAATTCTGTTTTCGTTGGCAAGCCTTTACGATCCAATGAGTTTCGTCGCACCGTGGCTACTGCCGGGCACGATTCTGCTGCTGTACCTGTGTAGAAAAAAGATTACTTGGGATGAGCCCTATGTGAAGCGGATCACAAGAACTGGCAAGGCTGGTGGATGAGCCTGTCCAAGCTGGGCGATATACGACTTCCTCGTCCTATACCAGGAATACGCCGAGGAGAGCAAAGTGAGTTACACGTTTTTGCGGACGCGTCGGAGGTTGGATACGGGGTAGTGGCCTACAGTTGCTCGTCTCGGCCAGGTGTAAGGAGGCATAGCCGAATACTACTCGCTAAGGTTAGGGCCGCTCCCCTAAAGGCAGTCTCTGTACCCAGGCTAGAACTGGCCGCATTGGTATAAGCCGTCAGGGTGACTAAGATGCTAAAAAGGTGTTTGCACCCGATCGAATGAACCGTAACTTACTGGACTGATTCCGCTATAGTTCTTCACTATGTTAAAAATGTACGAACGAACTTCAGCACTTTTGATTCCAACCGGTTAGCTGAGGTGTTTCTGAGGTGTTAACTGAGGTGTTTCAATGGTGGCACATAAAATCCTGTGTCAATCCAGCCGACTACTGCTCCATGGTTACATGGACCGGCTTTCTTGGCGGTTCAGCCCAGCGAGTGGCCCGACTCTCAGATTTCCCCTGTCGCAACGGAGTTACTGGAAACTAAGAGAATCGTTAAGTCAGTCGCTGCTTCAACCAACATCTTATTGCAGAAACTGCATCGTTTTTTACGATGGATGCAGATGCTGAGGGTGTTTGTCTGGTGAACTGGGGTCAAACCAAAACTCACCATTTTTAAAGGACTCCGACCTGACGACACCTTGAATATTGGTCCCATCGTTCCAACTGAATTGACAAAAGCAGAACCTGATGTTGTTCGCATAGTTCCATCACAAGCATTCCCGTCGGAGATTCAGGGGTCGAGCAAGGGGAATTGTTACTCCAATCGACGTGCATTACGTTGCAGTTTTCTCCGAAGACTCTGTCCACTATTGGTAGATGGTTTGCTGAGAGTAGGTGGTACACTGACAAACTCTGAATTGGACTTTGATGCTAAACATCCCATCATCTTGCCAAACAACCACTACATCACGCACACACTCATCATACATATTCACATGCAAGAAGGTCATGCTGGGGAAAACCACCTACTCAATATGATTCGACGTCGAATTGGATAGTGAAAGGGAGAGCTACAGTCAAGCGCATTGTGGGTAACTGTCTCTTTTGTTGTCGCTAGAATGCTTTATTCGACAAACAACTGATGGCCTCGTTACCAAGTTTCCGAGTACGACCATGTTGGTGGCCCTTCGCCGAAACTGGAATAGTCTACTTCGGGCCAATTCGACTGAGACGAAAGACGCCGACGGAGAAACGGTACGGTTGCCTGATGACCTGCCTACACTCACGAGCTTTGCCTATTGAGACTGTACACAGCATGTCGATCGACTTTTTTCTTAAGGCCTGACAGAGATTCGTGGGTAGACTGGGCAATGTGTGTTCTCCGACAACGGGTCCAATTTCGTCGGTGCACAAAAGGAGTTGAGCAAATGGTCAACGCGGTTAGACAAATCCGCCCTGCAAGACCGGCTGTCGCCATCCGGAACTCAATGGCACTTCTACCCACCCTACAGCAGTCACCGCGGAGGAGTTTNNNNGGAACGGCTTGTACGGTCTGTACAAAAAATATTGACAGCATTATGTGAACAACAGGCGCCGGATAATGAAACTTTGAGTACATTTCTGGTAGAGGCCGAAAAGAATACTCAACATCCGGCCGCTTTTACCCAACACCAGCGATTACCTGCAAGGACTAGCGCTAACTCCGGGTGACCTTCTGCTATTGAGGTCCAATAGTGAATTAGATATGCCAAAAACTTTTGGTGGCTGCTATACCTCGGGTTGGAAGCATGCAAACAACCTGGCAGGGGTGTTTAGAAGCTTTGGACAAGAAAGCATCTGCCAACCCTTCAAGTTCGACAGAAGTGGTTGTATGGAGAACGGTCACTGAAGGTTGAGGACGTTGTCCTTATGGCCGACGAAAAGCTACAATGCGACAACTGGCTACTGGGTGTAGTCATAAAAGGCTACACGGAACCAGAAGAACTAGTAAGAACGGTGAAATTGAAAACATCTGCTGGTGAACAGGTGCGCGAGATTCGAAGGCTGTTTATTGGAGGGAGATGACCACCATTGCATTATTTGATGAACTCTGTCAGACTCACTGTGTATTATAGAGATTCACTGCTCCCTTGTACCAATTGCGCTTCTGTGATAATAACCCTACATGTATGAACCCGTGCTTCCACGTCCTTACCATACGTCCTCTCTATTTCATTTTCGCGACTGATTGTCTTTTTATTTGATTGATACGCAATTTATGACATGAACCTCGGTGTGACCCATGTCATCACAACATTCATCCATTCACACACACTATCATCTGCATGCTAAACATGATTTAATAATAATAATAATAATAATGGTATATTTCTCGGATTACAACGAGAGACATGCAT